TCTCTTCAGGGTTTATAAAATAAGGCAGAAATTAAATACATACTTGTCAATAGCATGTAAGTTGGGAGGGCACCCTCAGGCTTAAAATTGATCATTTTTTTGGAAGGATGGTAAAGTATATAAGTTAGAATGTCTAGCATAACCACCAAAAGATTGTATAACTTCTTAACTAAAAAGGAAAAAAATGGGAAGATTAAAAATAATTGCTATAGAGAGCTAGGGTTGTGACTCAGTTGTAGAGTACTTGCCTAGCACAGGTGAGACACTGGGTTTGATACTCAGAACCACATAAAAACAAATAAATAAAAATAAAGGCATTGTGTCCACTTACAACTAGAAAGCTATTTTAAAAAATAATTAATATAGAAATAGATGAAAATGGAGGAAAAATGAATCGCTGAGATTTCAAGGCACATAAAAAGCACAAAATAAGATAGTATATGTAAGCACAAATGAAGGAGATGGGAGCAGACCTCACGGATCAGTAATGCCATTTATTTAGCTGTGAAGTCAATCAGTCAGGCATCAGAGGGTCTCACTTTATGGGTAGAAAATGGCCACTAGTTACAGGAGGGGTATGGGTTTTTATAGGTTACACTGAGAGGTGATTTATTCATTGAAGACATCGACAGAACACGTCAGTTTGGGCATTCAGGAAAAAGGCTGTAAAAATTTGAAACTTGTTTTTACTGGGAAAGGATGGAGGGTCTCAGTTCTTATCTTTTTCCTCTCGGGATCATTGCATTGTAAAGGATTAATGCTTATCCAGGGACTGCCATTTTAGGATTGATGTGTGCTTCTTTTCCAAGGATTGTGTTGTCACTGGGAAAGGATTTATTGGGGAAGGATCAATATTTTGTCTTCTTCCTCCCTCTCTCGTCCCGTATCACACTGTCTTGGGGTTATCATTTTCCATGTTCTTAAGTAAACATAATTCATCAAGATTTAAAATAAATAGAAATATACTATCAAAGATTTATAGGTGATATATCTCTTTAAATAATTCAGTTATATTTTCTTAAGTTATGTGTAAAGTAAAAGGATTCTGGACTGGCATATAGCTCAGTGGAAAAATGCTTGTGTAGCATGTACAAGGCCCTAAGTTCAATCCCCAGCACTGAAAAAATGATAAAGTTGCATATCAATGTGGCTAATGAAGCTACTAGCCCAGCCTTAAGTTCATTTAAAAATAAAACAAAAAGATTCCCCCAAAATGAGAAAAATAGCATGAATAAAATTATGCTATGTAGAAACTAACCCAAAGAAACTTGGTGTTGCTATATTAATGTCAGACAAAATAAAATTTAAGACAAAATGCTTTAAGAGATATGAAAGTGAACCATTTCATAAACATAAAAGGTTCAACCTTCCAGAAAGATGTAAGAGTTCTCTAAACCTCCATCAAGTTGACAAAATCAGATAGGAGACAGAAGATTAGAACAACACAATTAACAAGCTGGCTCTAATTGAATAAGGATATAGAACATGGCACTTAACAACTATAGGAAACACATTCTTTTCAACAAACATGGTATTTTTTGAAAATTGACCACATGCTGGGTTATAAAGAAAGTCTCAACAATTTTAAAAAGATTGAAACCATACAGACTATAGTTTCTGGTCACAATGCAATTAATTTAGAAATCAATAACAAAAGGATAACTAGATAAATCCATGTGAGAAATTGAGATATCTTCTTCTAAATAACCTGTGGGCCAAAGAAGAAATTATGATGGAAATTAGACAATATTTACAACACGTGACAACAAAAATACTATAAAAATGTATTAAATGCAAATAAAGTAAGATCTATTGATAAGTTGCACCCCTAAATGCTCTTATTAGGTAAGATTAACAGCCAACAATTAATGAGTTAAGAAGCTATAAGGATAATAATAAAATAAAATAAGTAAAAGTAAAAATTATAAAGATAGAAATCAATGAATATGCAACAAACAATAGAGAATTAACAAATCAGTGAGTCTTTCTTTGAAAAACCTTTTATAGATAAATATTCAATCAAAAGAGAGATCATAACTACCATGATGCAGATATTCAGTGGATAATAAGGGTGCTGATGAACAATTTTAGGGCTATGAATTAGAAAATCTAGACATGGACAAATTCCTGGAAAAATATGACTTCCCAAAACTTCCTGGAGAGGAAATAGAATTTAGTAGTCCAAAATACATTAAAGAAATGAATCAGTTTAAAATTGTCCCACCATGACCAAGCAATTTTTTGTTATCATTGGTTTCCTGTAATAATTTTTATTATAAAAATGTTAATCATGAATAAAAATAGAAAGAAATCAGAAAATGAACTCTTCAACACCTACCATGCAGCTTCAATGATTGTCAGCATTTTCTTTTCCTCCCATTCAAATCTCTCTCTCAACATTTAAAAAAACCACTTACTTTAATAATTTTAAACTTCAAGTTCCACAAATATTACCAAGAGTTCCATAGACCTTTCCATGCAGCTTCCTCTATTGATAACATTTTACATACCTACAGTACAATCAAAGCTAAGACACCAACTTTAGTACAATGGGATTAATTAATTAATTGTAAGACTATATTTTAATTACTCAGTTTCCCCAGTTATGCCCTTTTTTTCCCATCCAGGATCCAATCAGATGTCTCAGAATCTCTTTATTCTCTTTTTTTATGCTCTTTCAATCTTTGACTGTTCCTCAAGACCAGGAAGTTTTGTTGTTGAGTTAAAACAAATATTTGGGAAAACAAATAATAATTCATCACTACTATTCCAAAGACACACACACACAAAGAGAACACTCTGTAGCACATGTTGTCAAGTTAGCATAACTTTAACACTTGAGGACAATCTCACCTTATGAACATGAATGCAAAAAGAAAATCTGAGGAAAATATTAGCAAACCAAATGCTCAAATGTATGGAAAATTTAATAAATCATGACTAGGGTAGATTTATTTCAGGAAAACAAAGTTGGATTAATATTAGAAAATGTATTAATGAAATGCATTAGGGAGAAAAATCATATAATTATCTCAATAGAACAAAAAATGATAAAATTCAGTATCCATTTTTTAAAGTCATTTTTTATACCTTTGTTCTATTTATTTATTTTTATGTGGTGCTGAGGCTCAAACCCAGTGCCTCTCACATGCTAAGCAAGCACTGTACCACTGAGCCACAACCCCAGCCCTCAGCATCCATTCTTTTTGTTGTTGTTCTAATTAATTATACATGACGGTAGAATGCATCCTGACACATCATACATAAATGGAGTATAACTGCTCATTCTTCTGGTCGTACATAACGTAGGATCACACCGGTCATGTACATATATGCACACAGAGCATTAATGTCTGATTTATTCTATTATCCTTCCTACCCCACCCCCCACCCCTCAGCATCCACAACATCTTATTTATTTATTTATTTATTTATGGTACTGGGGATTGAACTCAGGGGCACTTGATCACTGAGCCACATTCCCAGCCCTATTGAGTTGCTCAGTGCCTCACCATTGCTGAGGCTGGCTTTGAACTCGGAATTCTCCTGTCAGCCTCCCAAGCTACTGGGATTACTGGTGTGTACCACAGTGCCCGGCTCAGCATCCATTCTTTTTTTTTTTTTAATATTGTTTAGTTGTAGATGGGCACAATATCTTTATTTTATTTGTTTATTTTTATGTGGTGCTAAGGATCAAAACCAGTGCCTCACACGTGTGAGGCAAGTGCTCTACCACTGAGCCACAACCCCAGTCCCTAGTATCCATTCTTGATAACAAATCTGAAACTAAAAATAGAAGGAAATTTTCTTAATCTGCTAAAGGATATCTACCATAACATACAGCAAACATCGTACTTAACAGTAAAACACTGGAAACAGTTCCTTTAAGATCAGACAAAAGACCAGAGTGTCTGTGGTTACCATTTCTGTTCAATATTGTACTAGAGAAAAATAAAGCAAGAATAAAAGAAATAAATGCATATGCATGGGAAGGTGCAAAACCATAGGGATTCAGCTTGACACGGTCATAACTCATTTTGCCAACCAGGCGACCCTGGCATACATCTTAAGTCCTATAGGACAAACAATGTTGTTAAGATAGTCAGCCAGATATGGTATGCCAGTCACTGACACCCAGCTGATTCTTAACTGATGTTTAAACATGTTAATAGTTTTGGGGAAAGGCCAAGTACATTCTGGTTGGCTGTGACCCACTGTGGGAGGATGCCCTGCCCATGGGATGAGCATCTGGCATCACATGCCACAAACTGTGTGAAGCAAGTGGTCTCCACCTTCACTGGCAAAGAAGTTTGCTCTAACCCTGGACTTGGAAGTTACCCAATGGGATTGGCCAATCCCCTGCCTTATTTGGTGAAGAACATTCCATCAAAGCTCCTTTGTGTCTCCCCCCATAAAATAAAGAGATTCTGGGTGCATGCTCTGCCTTCCAGTGTGGAAGAGGACCCTTGAGGTCGAAGAGCAGTCCCACCCTCGACTGAGAAACTCATGTCTGTGTGTTGCATTATTTCTTTGCCATTTTCTTAGTTTAAAATTGCAGCGAGCACCTTTGAACCCAGCTCATCTCATAAGTGTGGGAAGCTGGCGAGAACCCACCTTTGTTTAGCTTAGCATATGAAACCCTTGAGGTGTGGGGATCTACGTGTCTTGCTACTGCCCAAGATATGCTTCTGTCCATAAATTCCCAATAAATTGCACTCTGCAATCCTAGGTCTCTCTGCCTCTTATGATCTCATGGCACTTTGTGACTGGTTCTCAAATTCTGAGCATAGGTTGTTTTCTGAAACAAAACCTCATTATTCACAGGTAACATATGACCATCTACATGCAGATTCTCTGAAACATATGAATTATGAAACTTAATGAGAAATTTTAGCCAGATTTGTCTTTACAAATTCAATGTATAAAAATCAATTGCATTTTTACCCACTAGCAAAAATGAACATTGTTTGAAAATGTAAAATTAACAATATACCACAATATCAACCTAGGAATATATTTAATCAGTACCTATGAATAAATTTATAAAATAAGTAGAAAACCTTAACAGAAAAGAATGTCAAATTTAATTAAAAGACATTAAAGAAAACTTGAGAAGTAAATCATGTTTCTGGGTTGGAAGGCAACATTATACAGATTTTGATTGTGTCCTTTTTGATCCATGGATTCAATGAGGAAACAAAACTGTATACAATTTTATTCTATTTATATAAAGTTAAAAACATGTAAAACCAATGTCCTTTTTAAAAGCTCAATATATGTATGTGGCCAAAGGCGGGGGGAGTACTTTTGGGATCGTTTGTCTACAAATGTAGAGGGAAAGGTTAGTTTTTTGTCTCTGTGACCAAAATACCTGACAAAAACAACTTAGAGGAGGAAAGATTTATTTTAGTCCATGGTTTCAGAGGTTCAGTCTGTGGTCAGCTGGCTCCAAACCAGAAACATCATGGAGCAAGGGTGTGGCAGAGGAAAGCTGCTCAGTTCATGGCAATCAGGAGGTAGACAGAGACAGACAGAAAGGGGCCAGGGACAGACATGGTCCCCAAGCCATGACACCAGTGACCTACTTCCTCCAGTCATGCCCCGCCATCATTTTTACCCCTCCTAGTGAGTCCTTTCAAATCATTAATCAGTCAAATGAATTAATCCACTAATGAGGCAAGAGCCCTCATGATTCAGTCTTTTCCACTCTGAGCATTGCTGTGTTTCCTGACACATAAGCTTTTGGAGGAACATTGCAGATATAAAGCATAACAGGAAGGATCAAGAAGGGACTTAGAGTGAACTTTTAAAAATATATTTATTTTCTTAAACTGGGTAGCAAGTACTTGCTGCACTTCCCTTAGGCTGGATGATTTGGGCCTCCACCTTGGGCCCCACGCTTTAGAGCGCCTTCCTTGGAATTTTCTTCTTTCCACTCTGGTGCTTGAGATGGGCTGAGGACTATAGTGCAATGCTGCTCTTGAGCCCAGATCTGATCATGTGAGGGTCTCCGTCATAGGAAGTGCTTTTCTCCAAGGTTTGTAAGTCCTCTTCAATGACTGGGACCACCACAGCTAGGAGTGCTGTCTAGGCAAGATACTGAAGCCCTAGACCAGAACTCAAACAGACCCAGCTTCCCATTTTCCCTGGGCACATTTCTCCTTTGAGGCACTCTTTGATTCTTTACACCTCACCCAAGATGCCCAGAGGAGCTCTGAGACTTATGCCTATGAGGTGGGTTCTGGGGCCAGGGCTTTGTTGCAGGAAGGCGGCCTGGTAAGCAGACCACTCTCACTGGCCAGTGAGACATTCCTTTTGAAGAATCACAGACTACAGGAAAGGTAGAGATTCACTTATGTGGCATGATTCTTACTCATGTTGGACTAAGGACAAAGTTGGGGCTCTGGGCTGTTTATGGTCCACAGTTAACTTGGGCTGCAGCTATATTCGGACTCTCACCAGAGGTGGGGCTGGGGGACAGGCTATACTCTATGCACACTTCCCCTATCATTGGCACCCAGGGTGGTTATCTTGCCCCTTCCACAGGCTCTAGGCCCCATGTCATACCAACCCCCTGAGAGATTTAGAGGCCAATCACAATGCCATACTCTCCCAGGTTGATCTTAAGTCTCTTGGGCCAAGGGACTGACTTTGTTGCACAAATAGGACTGGTCTGACATGCCTTAGGGTCCCCACTTCTCCTCTCTTCTGGCAGCACCTTTTAGAAAGCAGGGGTGCAGTGGCATTGTGAGACATCCATTCCAGGAATGCAGTTGTTACGATCTAATGAGTAAGAAAAGACAAAATCAGATGTTTTTTCTGTTTTTGCAATAAAATTCTTATTAATAAATTTATGTGACCAGAAAACAAATGACACTTTACATGTTCCTGCATATTCTGAGTAAGAATCCCATTTGTGGTTATCATCAATGAAGCCCAAAACAGCCTCTGAGAGAGCATTCAATGGAGGCATGTTTGGGGATTCAACAGCTTAAGTAATGGTACCGGGAAATGGTCTTAGGAAACTGCAGAAGTAAGAGGATCTATATTGCTTAAACAGAAGCAGATTTGGAGTACCATGGTATTTTAAAAACAGCATTGCTACTTTTTTTCCTGTTGCAGATCTGAAATAAGCAAGAAATCTTCCTTCAATAACACAAAGAGATAGTGCCTGGACTGATGGAAAATCTTCATCTGCACTGATTAGACAATAAATGAATACTGTCACTGAGTCCACAGGTGCTACATCCACAGATTCAATCAACTGTGGATGGAAAACATTTTTTAAAAACGTACTGAATATGTATGTTTTTTTTTCTTGTCCTTATTTGCTAGACAGTACAGCTTAACAACTGTTTACATAGCTTACATAGCATTTACATTGTATTGGGTTTCAAGAGTCATCTAGAGATTATTTAAAGTACACGGGAGGATGTGGTTGGAGTGTCACCCAGGCCTCATTCTGACAGCCTCCCCAGGCATCCATTGCTCCAACTCTAGTACCAAGTTTGGTCACAGGGTCCCCCACTCAAATCCCCTCCTGCTGTCAGATGGCTTCCCCTTCTCCCTAGGTTGCTTCCTCAAGCCTCTAAAACCTTGAAGACTTCTAATGACTCTTCCAAGGTCACCTATGGCCCTGTTGATCTCAGACCAGCCATAAACAGAGCAAAGGAGTTGTCTGGATTGGTTTCATAGATATTTTAGAAAGCAGATTTAAAAACTGATAGCAAGGGCTGGGGTTGTGGCTCAGAGGTAGAGTACTTGCCTAGCATGCATGAGGCACTGGGTTCAAGCCTCAGCACCACATTAAAAATAAAAGTATTATGTCCTCCTACAATTAAAAAACAAAAGAAGACTGATGGCAGCCAGGTGTGGTGGCACATGCCTATAATCCCAGAAATTTGGGAGGTTGAGGCAGGAGGATCACAAGTTCAAGGCCAGCCTCAGCAATTTAGCGAGGCCCTGTCAAGATTTTAAAAAAAGAAAAAAAATTAAAAAGGGGGGGCTAGAAATGTGGCTCAGTGGTAAAGCACCCCTGGGTTAAATCACTCCTGGGCTAAAGACCTTGTTCAAAAAAATAAAAAATAAATTTATGGCAATGTATTCTGTCTTATCAGAATCAAGGGCAAGCTTTCCCTGAAAAATCTGGGCGAACTTTGTAGAGATGAAGGAAGAGAACCAGAGTGAGTGGCAGCTGGTTCAGCAGGAAATTTGTTGGAAGATAAAGGAACTCAGATGGGGGTGGGTGACTTCCACAGGAAAAGTTCTGGATAAGTATCTAAAGATGACCAATATTTCCTTTGTGTGTATGGGAAGCAGAATGACTTCAGTATTGTTGAGCCTTCCCAGTATGGCCTCTGAGTATTTCTGCCTAGTTTTTTCTTCTTGAAAAGAAATTGTTTTTCAGCCAGCCAAAGCGGAGGGTGGGGGGAGGGAGAAAGAGAACACTAAATGGTCATTAGTGTCAGATGTTTCTGAGAAGTCAGAAAAGTATAATGAAGTAGACACCAGATATAGCAAATAGAGGTCATTTGTGACTAGCATTGCTGATGCTAGGTTACAGTGAGTTGGGTATTTACTGGGAAGAGAGAATATGAGGGAACTCTTTTAGGAAATTTGGCTTTAAGAGGTAGAGAAAGCTGGGTGGTTTTGGATTGTGTGTGTGAAGATAGGAGACACTTGAGCCCCTTCTGACTTTGTAGGCTCATAAGCCGAAGCTAAACAAAGAAAGAGGTTGAAAGTAGGAAAGAGTGAGAAATAATGAAGATAATCAGTTTTTTGAAGAAGAAAAGTTGGACTCCAGGTAGGTTTAAAGCAATCTGAAAATGGGAATTCTCTTCCTTTGAAACAAACAAACAAAAAATTGTTACCTTATTTTCAAGAAGATTTAAGTGGCTACTTGCACTAGAGTATCTTTATCTGATAAACCTTAATTGTACTTAAGAATTGATAAAACTTGATAACAAATATAATGTCCTTCCATAGTTGTCCTTGATGCTCCTATGATATTAAAATTAGATGTCCTTCAGATGTTACCTGGGCATTTGTTTGATGGTCTGTGTAAAACCCATATTTATTTCTCAGATGAGAGAGAAAGGGAACATCTTTATATTTCAGTCTAGCAGGCTGGTGTTATGTGAGCTCATCTGCCTTTTTTAAGGGAAGATGCTTAAGAGATCAATGCTTTGTGATCTGTTCCTCAGTTATAGACTGGGACTTACATGACTGGTATTGATGATCTAATTTATTCCTGATGTTGATCACAAGTTGAGCTTCTGTTAGTTAAACCTTTATTGCCTGTAAGATTAAAAAAGAAGATAGTGTTCCTGGATACCCATTTTATACTGCTAAATACCAAGTTCAATCATGAAAAAACAAACACACGTTTTTACAATAATTTTCTAAATTCATAAAGAAAAAGTCAATGTGGTAAATGATCCCTTTAGAGGGTTCTTCCTATCAAATGGCTGAGGCTTTTAAAAATACCAATCCAAAGAAGTTCTAATTAATGACACTTTGTTTTTCTGATAAATTTCCCTGAAGCAAGGGAATGCTTCAATTCTGCAAGGACTTTCAAACTGTGATCACAATTAGGGCCATCTGTTGAAAAACTATCATTGCTGATTTGGTAGGTAGAAACTTCTTTGAATGTTGAAAGTTGTTCATGTTGCAATTTTCTCTTCCTTTTCTCCTTCTCCAGCTCCTCCTCGTCCTCTTCCCATCTCACCTTGTGCTTTCATTAGCATTAAATACTTATACCACACAGTAGAACTCATCTTTAGCAGACTTTGTGGGACAGACTGCTGCTGCTCTTGGTTTTTGTGGCTTCTTCCCTGAACAGTTAATGCTTTCCCAACCGTCTTCCAAAAGTGATCCAACCAGCTTTTACTCCCAATAAAAACTTCTTCCTTTGATGTCTGGCAGCTCTTCTTCAGTATGAATGAACAACACTTTTGTTAAGAGTGTTGCCTATTTCAAGTGTGCATGGATTGTCTCCATCTACACCTGTATCCACAGAATCAAAAGTTTTCCCACTTTACTCTTAGCATCACCCTGAGAGCAGCTTCCTTTTTCTTGTCACTCCTGATGCGAATCAGGCAGTCACCAGGTGAGACTTAGTCAATCCCAGGAGGGTCGTATTTATAAATCTAAAGGTCATAAAGGCAGGGTGTCAAGTGAAGCCATCGTGCATGAGGGGCCATCTGTACCTTCCTATCAGTGTTTATTGTGAGGATTAAGAGCATAAGGTGCTTTTCAGATGGCAAAACCTCATACAAATGGGAGGAATTATTGTAAGCCCAACCTGTAAAATACATACAAAGGCATACAAACCAAATAGTACTAATGCTTTGCTCAAGCTCTGCATAGTTAGAATTTGAAGCATTTCTTTTCTCTGAAAATCACAGGCTTCCAGCTGAGTTAAAGAAGCATTTTGGTCATCATAAAAGAGAAGCACAGCTTAACAGTTCACCCCTGGACCAGGAAAGGAACAAGGAATGCTAGCTCCCCAGCCTCCTCCTGAGCCCCCTCCAGCTCTATGCATTGCCCAGTCTGTCTCCCTGGAATTTTGTGAGGATCACTGTCTGCCACTTGGGGGATGACATCTCTTACCTCGGAACTTTCAGGTTTGAAAAATTCTGACAGACTGACACCTATGAGAGCACAAAACAGCACTGTACCATTTAAATTTGAATCCTTATTCCACCTCCATGACAGACTGTCCCTCCTAAAAGCTTTTAAAGGATCAGCCTTCCTTTTATTTAAGTACGAAAGAAAGAAAGGGAAACTCAACTAACAAAACAATTGGAAATTCAAGCCACATCTTGAAAAGAGTTAAGAGATCATTTTTCTACAGGGTCCCCTCCCCCAGTGCCTTGTGGGACATTCTTGGAGGCCTCTAGCAGTAAAATGTTTCAGAAAGTCAATCTGGAGTTTGCTGTCCTCCCTGCTCCCAAAGGGCCAAAGTGTCAAAGAGTCGCTTAGAAAGGAAGCCACCCAACAATTGCCAGGCCATTTCTCACTCCCTTAGACTTACATAAGATGGGCATGGAGGGTACATATAAATGTTAGCTACTTAAAGTTAATTATTTAATTAAATGATAATTAAATATTAAATTCCAATCACACCTGCATATGTTGTCCTCTTCTTCTCTTACCTGTTGTTGGGACTCAGAAAACAATACCCCACAATGAAGATCTCAGAAGCAAAGCTCAAAAAGCAAAGCCTCTCTCTGACCTTCTCTCCTCTTGTCTCCTGCTCCCTTTTGTCCCTCTCAAGGTAAACCATGGAAACTAGTATTTCTTTTCTCCAAGACAAGTCACAGAGACTAGAATATTTTTTCCCCAGAGCCAGCCATGAAGCCTCAAAATATTATTCTACACTTCCCTTCACCTTTCTGAAGGAATGTTTCATGGAGAAGAAGAAGAATCTGAACAGACCGACCTTGCTGGGTTTCTGCACTCCATTAGCAGGAGATCACAGACTTTTTGTCCAATCTCATTTCTACCCAGTTGTTCATGCTTCATCGAATCTAAACTTAAAAGTAGAGACATTTCTCTGCACTTTGGGTCTTCAATCTGAAAGCTCATGTGTCACACAGAACTGCAATCAAATAAAATTGGTAAAATTCTCTCTTCTAATTTGTCTTGTTACACAGGTGTCATCCATGACCCATTATGATGGAGCAAAAAGGGGCTCACTCCCTCCTCTGTGTTTCCCTGCACTGCCCACAATTTGCTTTTAGTTTTTCTTGTATCACTAGAACTATAATAACAACCACAGTGATTTTTTACTAGAATAAGCATGATCAGTAGACCTCATAATTCACTATGAAGCATGAAATAAGGAAAAAATAGAAGTGCTCAATGAAATGTTGTCCTTGAGTCCCACCATGATTCACTTCTGTGCTGATTTCCATTGTTAGCTAAGTTGTCCCTCAGTACCCACAGGGGTTGGTTTCAGGACATCTCTCCCCTGCATAGATATGAAAATCCAAGGATCTCAAGTCTTTTGTACAAATGATACATAGAGGTTGTATCTAACCTACATGACATCCTCCTGTATGTTTTAAATCATCTTAAGATTACTTATAATACCTAGTACAACGTAAATGCTATGGAAACAGTTGCACTTTGCTATTTAGAGAACAATAATAAGGAAAAAAAGGTTTGAAGTCCAGATGCAATTTTTTAATGCATTAATTTGAGTCCATGATTTGTTGAATCCATGGATGTGAAACCCATGGATCTGGAGATTTGACTTGAAAGATAGTTTCTAGATCTTCTGAGTCTCCATTGAAGACCAAACTAAGAGAAATGGACCTTTGTCTTGACTTTGGTGTGATGCTTCATAGTTTACAGAACATCTTGTTCATGATTTCCTTCCATTTGTGCAATGGCAACTCTCAAGTAGGCAGTATTGCAGATGAAGAAACTGAGTCTCAGGGGATTCAAATGGCACAGGTAGGAAATAAGGATTCTTAAAACCCAGACTCTAACTCTGTTTACCACACCACGTTTCCCTGAGTATTTAAATACAAAGATAATAGTCTATAAGGAAAGCTAATATAAGAAAACTCAAATATAAAGAATAAAGATTAAAAAGAGGATCATAAAAAAATCACATTAAAAGGACAGTCTTGTATTTTAAAATATAAATGCAAACATACATAATCCATACAAACACATAAATTTATGTGCACACAGCACTGTTTATAATAATAGATTATAAAAATTATAATTTTTATAATTATAACCTGTGCTATTTTCTTCTATTTGTCTTCTGACAAGTGTGATGGTATTAATAAATTGAAGGCACCAGGCATAAAACATCTGAACTAATGTATGTTTCTGTTGATTCATTTGTGGTGGTGTTGACACTGGAGCTGCTTGTAGACTATCTTCTCACATATAATAATTATTATTTAGTGATGGCAAAGCTCTGTGGATGTGACCAAAGTGTCAGTGACATAAAGAAAAGCCTGTTTAAATGATCTGCAAAGCAGGGCCACAGCTGTAACTTTGCCCTGGCAGAGCCTGTCAAGTAAATAGCATGATCTTTTCAAACACAGCCATATTATTTTCTTCCTGGCATTTGTAATTTGTTAAAACTCTTAGTGTGCGTGCCTTTCTTCCTAATAACAATGGCATATGGCCAATCTCTGTACTTATCTCTTGCACACACATTACTTCTATGTATATTTAATCTAGTTTTTATATTTGAAGGAAACACACACAGATTTTGCTGCAAATTTTAAACACATTTTGTGACTGCTGTGATACAATTTATAACTCAGTGATATAACATTCAAAAATGCTTTTGAAAAAAAGCAATTTCATTAAGAGACGATATAAAAGTAGCCCAAGATCAACTGTTGGCTCTGCTTAGAAGAAAAAAACCCCAAACCATGATGCTTCAATACTGCTGATATTTGGTTTTGTAAATCATACTACATCTGGTATTTATAGACTTAGTCTTATTGCTATAGCCCCAAGAGCATCTCTCTGGGATCTCAGCCATTGTCTATCAATTTATTTGTACCTTGGTAGATGTGTGAATGTCCAACAGTTTTCTAATTTAGAAATGATGGTAGATTTTCAAAAACTTTTATTTTATTCATAATTTAAAGATTAGATACTGAAATAAGAGCCACCTAACATTATTGTCAACAAAATTTATTGTTAACATAAATCCCTTTAGGCAGGACTTTTTTCCCCACACAATAAAAATTATACAACCTCAAGGTTTGAAGGAACTTTGAGGTTATGGAAGCCAGACACTCTTTCCAGACAATTGAGTGAACTGGTTAAGAATTGGAGTTCTGGAAACAATATGGACTTACACTCAGGTTTCCATATTTATACCTCCTACATGATACCAGACAAGCCTCTGAGTTTCTCTCTTGATTTGCTAAATGAAGATAAAATAGAACCTCATTCACTGGGTTGCCATGATTGAACAAGACAGGACATGGCTCAGTGCATTCATATAGAGGGTGCTCAAGAAATATGAGCTCTTTTATTCTTATGGCCTTAGAAATCCTACAGAGTTCCTGTCACAGTCACTCTCAGCCCTTAATTGAACTTCTAGTGACAATGAATTTTTTGCCTCTTAAAGAATCTCTATCACAATTTTGAATCACTCTGACTCTTCAAAGTTCTTCCAGAGTTTCTTTCTTTCTCTTTCCTCTTGCCTCCTTTTGTTGACCCTGATTATTTCTTGGCTCTTGGGGGTGATGTGGATAGAGATAATAATCTCTGTTCCACATTACAATTTTTCCTTCAAATAGTTTCAGATA